AGTTATTCTTACCACATATGTATCAGGTATTCTGGTATTGTTGTAATGTCAGAGAAGTGTTGTTCCTCTAAGACTATTGCTACAAATTTCTTGTATGTATGTACTTTTATTTAAGTGTCACTTAGATTATATGAAAGTAACTTGTAATTTTAATATTTTAGAAGTGAAGAGGACTAAAATTTGATAAAGACAAAATGCATTTTCATAATTTATAAAAAAGAATATTGTTAAATAAAGGCATTTTTATTGTCTCCAATTTGTTTTATTGTCCTCGGATAGACAGTGCCAATTGATGCATATTATGAATAGATTGTCTTCTATATGCATCTATATATGATTAATTCAAAATAAATAGTTTTATTCTTCCAATATTAAATTTTGTAAACTTTCACTTATTGCGACAATTATTTTTTTATTAATATCATTTTTATTTATTATATAATTATTAAACAAGTAATACATAAAATATAAACTCATAAATCCATTCAATCAAAGAAACCAAGATCCAGACAGAAAATGGGAAATAGGATCCAAACTCATGTCCTTTAGTAACATACCACATGTTCTAATCATTTAAGCCACCAAGACATAGTTAATCTGTCTTTTAATGGAACTGTATAAATGAAACAGGATAAGTGTGTCCTATTAGTTTAACTGATTAGAGAATTCACTAAGTTACCAAAAGACATGGATAAAGATCCACCTGGGACTAAATATATTTTTCAAGTCTATATCATGGTTTATTTCTTTGAACAGATACAGAGTTTATAAATCAGATTTATTCTTTCAGTATAATTTAATTCTTTGTTAATATGTTAATATCAGTAATCTAACATACAAATATAGTTATTATTAGAGAAGTTATTATAATAGATTTCATATAGTTATTATTAACTTCCTGAATTCTATAATAATAACTTTAGTTTTGTATAAAATAATTATTTTGTAGTAAACAAAAAATAAGAATATATGAAAAGAAATTCTTTTTAATAATTAATATATGATTTTTCTTTATATATTCCTGGTTAAAATTTATGAAATACGTTCAATTTTATAGTATATGCAAATTATTCATTCAGTAATTTATACTACATTTTATATAAAAATTTTAAAAACAAAAATAAAAAATTATTTTCTTGTGAAAAATTAAAGATAATCATGTGTAATTACTCCATTATTGTTATAATTATTCTAGTTTTAGATCAACTTTCTCCATTTGATGATTAATGGAATGATATGCAGATGATATGACAGCAATATCTAATCATGTTCATCTCATGAGATGACTAGAAAAATAAAAAATAAAGAAAATAAGACTACACGATCATATAATTGTCTCTCTTGAGATAAGAAAAAAATAATAGGATTGATTAGTTCTGAATATTCAATTTTATAAGTAAATAATATGAAACTAAAGGAAAAGATAAGATAAAACAGATTATCAGGATTATGAATATTGAATATCAGAAACAATAATCAATGAAACACAAATTTAATAATACTTAATAATAAATAAATAATATCCAATAATTATAAATATCTAATTTTCTGCTTATTCTGCTAATTTTCTAATTACCATAATTTTTGTGGTAACAACTGAAGATTCATAAACATATTAATGTTGATAATTTTTAAATTCATATAATAGATCAAAATATATAAATGAATTCTGAAATAATACATATAATAAAATCTTATATTTTATCTTGGTTATATTATGAAATCAAAGTTAAAATATACTTTTAAGAAAGACGCTATATATGCACAGTACATATATATTCATGCATGTATATAATTAATTAATTAATTTTTATTTCATGATAAGTATCTTTACATAATTTTTTTACATAAACAGACCTATTCTGAAACTTATTTTTATAGAATTTAATCAAAAAAATTTTGTTTGGTTCACTTGTTATTAGCAATTAAGTAAGGAACTCTAATAAATTTTAAAATTAAACAACAAACTACTAGAAATTACTCCCAAAGGAGAGATTTCTAGTAATTTGTTATTTAATTCTAAAATTTATTAAGAATTTCATTNAAGGTATATATGTATTTTATTATAAATTATTGTAGCAGTTATTCTTACCACATATGTATCAGGTATTCTGGTATTGTTGTAATGTCAGAGAAGTGTTGTTCCTCTAAGACTATTGCTACAAATTTCTTGTATGTATGTACTTTTATTTAAGTGTCACTTAGATTATATGAAAGTAACTTGTAATTTTAATATTTTAGAAGTGAAGAGGACTAAAATTTGATAAAGACAAAATGCATTTTCATAATTTATAAAAAAGAATATTGTTAAATAAAGGCATTTTTATTGTCTCCAATTTGTTTTATTGTCCTCGGATAGACAGTGCCAATTGATGCATATTATGAATAGATTGTCTTCTATATGCATCTATATATGATTAATTCAAAATAAATAGTTTTATTCTTCCAATATTAAATTTTGTAAACTTTCACTTATTGCGACAATTATTTTTTTATTAATATCATTTTTATTTATTATATAATTATTAAACAAGTAATACATAAAATATAAACTCATAAATCCATTCAATCAAAGAAACCAAGATCCAGACAGAAAATGGGAAATAGGATCCAAACTCATGTCCTTTAGTAACATACCACATGTTCTAATCATTTAAGCCACCAAGACATAGTTAATCTGTCTTTTAATGGAACTGTATAAATGAAACAGGATAAGTGTGTCCTATTAGTTTAACTGATTAGAGAATTCACTAAGTTACCAAAAGACATGGATAAAGATCCACCTGGGACTAAATATATTTTTCAAGTCTATATCATGGTTTATTTCTTTGAACAGATACAGAGTTTATAAATCAGATTTATTCTTTCAGTATAATTTAATTCTTTGTTAATATGTTAATATCAGTAATCTAACATACAAATATAGTTATTATTAGAGAAGTTATTATAATAGATTTCATATAGTTATTATTAACTTCCTGAATTCTATAATAATAACTTTAGTTTTGTATAAAATAATTATTTTGTAGTAAACAAAAAATAAGAATATATGAAAAGAAATTCTTTTTAATAATTAATATATGATTTTTCTTTATATATTCCTGGTTAAAATTTATGAAATACGTTCAATTTTATAGTATATGCAAATTATTCATTCAGTAATTTATACTACATTTTATATAAAAATTTTAAAAACAAAAATAAAAAATTATTTTCTTGTGAAAAATTAAAGATAATCATGTGTAATTACTCCATTATTGTTATAATTATTCTAGTTTTAGATCAACTTTCTCCATTTGATGATTAATGGAATGATATGCAGATGATATGACAGCAATATCTAATCATGTTCATCTCATGAGATGACTAGAAAAATAAAAAATAAAGAAAATAAGACTACACGATCATATAATTGTCTCTCTTGAGATAAGAAAAAAATAATAGGATTGATTAGTTCTGAATATTCAATTTTATAAGTAAATAATATGAAACTAAAGGAAAAGATAAGATAAAACAGATTATCAGGATTATGAATATTGAATATCAGAAACAATAATCAATGAAACACAAATTTAATAATACTTAATAATAAATAAATAATATCCAATAATTATAAATATCTAATTTTCTGCTTATTCTGCTAATTTTCTAATTACCATAATTTTTGTGGTAACAACTGAAGATTCATAAACATATTAATGTTGATAATTTTTAAATTCATATAATAGATCAAAATATATAAATGAATTCTGAAATAATACATATAATAAAATCTTATATTTTATCTTGGTTATATTATGAAATCAAAGTTAAAATATACTTTTAAGAAAGACGCTATATATGCACAGTACATATATATTCATGCATGTATATAATTAATTAATTAATTTTTATTTCATGATAAGTATCTTTACATAATTTTTTTACATAAACAGACCTATTCTGAAACTTATTTTTATAGAATTTAATCAAAAAAATTTTGTTTGGTTCACTTGTTATTAGCAATTAAGTAAGGAACTCTAATAAATTTTAAAATTAAACAACAAACTACTAGAAATTACTCCCAAAGGAGAGATTTCTAGTAATTTGTTATTTAATTCTAAAATTTATTAAGAATTTCATTTATTATTGGTGAAGATAATATTTTAAGTATTATGTATTGTTTTGTTGTTTGCAACTTTGTAAAATTCTCTTGACATTTTAAATATGTATGTAATTTATAAGCACTATATTTAAGTAAAACAGTATTATAAAAATATTGTCTATAGTAATAAATAAAATGGAAACTATAATTAATTAATTAGAATTCTTTTTCTATATTTCAATGATTTCAAATAAATTACCTTTAGTTCAAAATATGAATAATGTAATAATAATAAATAATTCTTATACTATTTATACTTATAAAAGTTATTTAAGTGTAAGTAGCATAAATTGTAATATAAATGATCTTCACTAATAAATATATTTTTTTTATTTTAAAATTTAAAAATCTGTTAAACATATAATTTATTGAATTATATGTTAAACAGATTCAATTACTGCTTCAATTAAGCATTATTGAATCAGTAATAGCTGCTCTAATATACCTTTAATAAAATATATTATACAAAATTTAATAATTTTGTAATTTTACATCTTGGAAAATTATAAAAGACAAAAAATTTTCATTATACTTTCTTCTTCATTTACTTATTTACTTTTTCCTTCATAAAATAAAACATTAGCTAATTATACATATTATACATACGTACACACACACACACACACACACATATATATATATATATCANAAGTTATATATATATATATATTTAATTTTGAGTTATAAAACGTTTTTTTGTTAAAATAATAACTGAATCAATACTAATTTCATTAAGTTCTTTTTAAGTAATGAATTAAATTTCATTACTGGCAAAGAAGTTAATACAAAACTTTGGGCTTATTTGTAGTTTAAAACATTACCCAAAGGCAAAATATATAAAAGGAGTAAGACTTACGTTGTCCTACATTAGCTTCTTTTATCTTATCTCTGATAACTCTGCATGCATCGTATACAACAGCCGATGGTTCAAATTGCATAGTTTCGCTGACATTTTTCTCTACAATACTCACTTTTAATGACAGTGTCATGTTTAATGATGATATAGTTCAGGTTTTCAAGCTAAAAATAAAATTCACGATTTTTTAAAATAAATAACAGATTTTATATTAAAAATATAAATTGAACTGCAATAAAACTTAAATATATATTTATTTATACAAATATATTAAGTTATTATTCTAAAATAATCATTATTATTATTAGATAATAAAATATAAAATAAAACTAGATAACTAATAGTATTTCCATTGATATTAAAATTCATCTACATAAACAAATACAAAATAAACCTAATAAACAAAAATATTCCAAACACATTCATTCCCAAAGACATTAGAGACCATAATTAATCTGCTAAAGAAACAAAATAATATTCCATATTCAAATTACACATTTACTTCCATCTGCATAATTACATTACCTTATTATCTGTAATATATGATCAAGAATGGATCGATTACCAGCCATTTTCTTCCAAAACTTTATTCTTCCGATATCGATTAACTAATAAGAGAAGTTTTACGACATGACTACAACTCCTATATATTTTTTCCCTAAGCTAAAATAAAATTACCAATCGAACATTCGAAAAACTCACATCTTCAACTAGTACATCCCAATAAAGCCGTTGGTTGGAATCCATTCCGTCTAAAAATCGGTGATTATTTTTAAGAGGAAGAGGCAGTTGGAACAGAATTTCGAAGATGCTATCGCTACAACTGAACTGATGAACAGGGAGGCACAGCATCCAGCTAAAACCACAGGCGCCTGTCTGTCCGACTGTGGCTACCAGTTACAGCCGCGACGAGAACTTTCCCAACACCATAAGCTACCAACTTGGATGTAAAGCAGGATATTTATAAGAGACTTGATGACCGTAACAAACTCGTCGCCACGAAATTTCGAGGGAAAAAAATCGCAAAATTTTTTTATAACAGCGTTACGTGTTTAGAAACGCATCCAAAATGTTTAAGAAAATTACTTTTTTCTATTTAATCGAAATTTTAGATAAGGTAATGTAAATAAGCAAAGTTTGCATTATTTTCGCATAAATTGTGCCCACTCTTCTTGACAGTTACCATTTTGGGAGTCCTTCTTTCGTTTACAAGTCTAGGTCAAATGTGTTCTCATTTATTATCCAAATTTAGCCGTAGGATTTCGATCCAACATTTAAAATTAAATTCGTAAAGTCTTAAAATTATATATTTGTATATTTCAACAAATATATTTTCAACTGATTTATTTAAAAAAAAAAAAAATTGGCTTAAAACTTACCAAAAACATTCGAGAATTTTAACGTGACAAAATACATCACACTTTTGTTTTCTTCCCCGTTATGAAAATGTGATAAAACGTCTCGAATATTTCCCAAAATTGCATTCGTATAAGGTATATAAGTAGAATGTGTCAACAGAATAAGACGACAGGAAGTTGCAGTCATCTGTCCTAAGGCGACAGCACGTGGGAGAAAACAACACTCGCCTCCTCCCTCCGACGAAATGTGACCTTTTTCTCGATCCGACACGATGCAGTGATAATGTAACAAGACGGGTGAATCGACACCAGCAATTCAGTTAAATAGGGGTTTTGTGAATAGTATCACTCCATCGGGCACACGCGGCATGACAGGCCAAAGTCGTTGTACAGGTTCAATTGTCTGTCACGCCATCCAATAAAACCAAACCAGAAAAATCATCATAGACACGCACATCGTTGGCATATTAACGTAGATATCCGGAGAATTTTTAAATTGTCTAATTTATTATTAATTTTTCTTTTTTCGCCGCCGCCGACTCTTGGCATCTTCGACCGCACAGGAAATTGCATAATGAATATTAAATAATAATCTATGTAAGAACATAGTGACTAGTAACAACGTAACAATTTGCTTTTTAAGTGTAGATATCATTTTTCTGAATAATAATTCTTAAATTTGCAGTTTTTCAATCTTACGTGAAGACCTTCAAAGCGCATTCAAAGCACCTTCAGACTTGCACATTCATATAAACAGCTTGAAAACACGTTCAAATCTTTGCCTACATACGTAATACACAATAAACGCTAAAAAGTCTTTGTGAACTCAAATAATGATTTAATGTAGTATACGGTATGGATATATACATAGGCTGTACTGAAGAAATTCTTCGTCGCTACAGCTTTTTAATCATTTTACAAAATTCTGCAAAGAAACGTTACTTTCCAAATTACCATACGTGCGAATAATTTTGATGGAGGCATTTTAATTAAACATTTTAATTAGAACATTAAAGTAAAAAGCAACCATCGAAAAATCGTTACTACAGTATATTATTGATAAACGAGGTTTGTTTGATGTGGTTATAATAAATTAGCCAAGGTGGATTAATCTGTTCATCCCGTAATAGGGCCGTTTTCTGTAGTTTTCTTTTAATTTTAGCAATAAATCACCCAGACAGCTTATTATGTTTGATAAGCGTTAAGATGCGGTTTTGATCGTAGTACTTCCATGAGAAAAGTGTACGTTCTTAAATCAATCTTACGCGTTATATTAACTTTCTGCTCGCGATTCGGTCGAAACCATTTGGAAAAAGGATAAAATATCTATTAACGAATGTATTCTTCACCCGAACACAATGAAGAATTATTCACTAAAGAGATTTACATAAAAGAAAAGAGGGAAAAAAGGCACTGGCAAGTGTGTGTGAATCAATTTCTTTACATTTTTCCCTTCTGCTAAGATTGAAAGTGTTATAAAAAAATATATCTATTTTAGTCGTTAAGTACAAAAAGGTTCATTTTCAGTAAAATGGTCTAATGGATGCAGAGATATCAACTACAAGAGACGAAAGTAACAGAAGCGTAACAACAGGGCTAGAGAAGCCGATTGAAAGAAAAGGAAAAGAAAAATAAAATGACAATCGGTAGAGAGAGAGAGAGACAATATCCTTCAGACCAATGAAAATGACATTAGGTTCATACCGAATACAAAGAAGAATGAATAATGACAGACATAAATGAATGAGAAAGCGAAAGGATCGATCGTCAAATGATCCTCTCTCTCTAACATTCCTTCCAGGCGAAAAAATTGAAAGTCGAATATCTATCGGCACAATTCTGTAATCAAAGCAGCGAACTGTATACGGGGCGTCACTGGTAGACAGGTTTGTCGACACCGACCCGACTAAGGTCAACGTTCCTATAGTCGCACCCATATCTGGTCGAAGGTGCCGGCTGCCTGGAGCACCCATCAAACCATATTTCTTCTCTTTTTTCCAAGCTACATTGTGGATAAGATATTGTTTTCGGTGTCTAGCTCGTCTTCTTGGTTTTCTTCCATAGTTACCCGTGTATGTGCATGTTCTGTAAGTTGTGGGTCTTGTCTATGTTACGTGTTTATGCGAGAGAACTTGAATACTTTTGACTAGACTAACAGAGCCAAATAATTTTGCTGCTGTTTTCGCATTTGCCGGTTCTATTAACGATTCGATAAACACACACAATGCAAATTATAATATTTTATATATTTCTGCATAGTTTCTTATAAGATTATCATTTAACCTTTCTTATAGGACTTTTTAAAGAAAATCATTATTAAATCTATCAAAATGGCATTCCATCCATCTACAATATATAATTTTCGCAGTTTTTTTCGGTAGCAATTTTTGTTTTTTTATTAAAACTACGCTATTTATTTAATGTCGAAACTGCTATCATCACTAAAAACATCCATAAACTTTGACTTAATATCTTCTAAACGTGACTTATTCGCTCGGGGGTCTGCGCGAAGATAAAGATAAATATCCGCTTTTACAACTGGATGAAGTGAAAAAAACAAGAAAACTAACAACTCGAAACTTACTTAAGAACAGGAAAAAAAAAACAGTAATTTGTAAGAAAATAATCTAGATTCAAAATATAATTAAAGATGATAATAAACGATCAAAATTTAATCGATATGAAGCGAAGGAATTTGCTGAAATTTCTGAAACTCGCAGGTTATAAGGAAAAAAAGGGGGAAATGATTAAAAATACAATTTTAAACGCCGTTTCGCGATGAAAGAATCCTAATTTTGAACACGTTGGATGCTATCAAAATCAATCATTCGCGATTTCTCTAGCCATTCGGTCGTAAACAACTTTTTTTTTTCTTCTTATCGCTAAAACGTTCGAGATGAAGATATTTTGTTCTCCATTAAGGCGACAAGGAAAACTCAGCTACCGAAATTCTGACTATATATATAACTTATATTAAAAAAATAAAGAAAGAAAATCGTACGTCATTGATTCTTCTTAACATTTCTGCAACACAGGACCGTTACTTCTTCAATTTTATGGCGACTAATTAGCATATTTAATGAACGTGGGCAAAGCCATTGATCTAAAGATATGACAAAAGAGGAAAGTCGGTATATAATTAGTTGTGCTACAATAGATAACTAAACGTAGTCGAGTACAAACTGTATACAATAAATCACTATAATTCCCAAGTGAAAATTTGATCGTTGCACCAATTAACTGAGCCAAGTGAGTCGATTGAAATGCAAGAATGAAACAAAGCTGTTTCTAATCTTGAGATTTACAGCTGACATTCCGAAGCTTGCGTCACAACTATTTGTGACATTTTCGGAGAAAAATATTTTGGATAGGAAAAACCTATCGTCCTTTGGAATCTCCACACTTCATCTAAATGCGACCGAAGTGGAGAGAAGCGCTTCACTTAAAGAAATCAATTGTAGAGGGATGAAATTGTCGACAACTGATGAGCGGTAATCCCGTATTCGTGACGATAATATCAATAGAGTAAAGCATCGAGAGATTTATGGTCTCGGATCATTTGATAAATCCTTTTTTTTTCCGTTAAGTATGATCTTTAACTTAATGCCAGTTCTCTTCTATTATCGTTGTATCATTTCATAAATTGTCTAGAAGAAGGAATTTAGTAAATTAGTGAAGACATTCGTTAAAAATTTTCCAACTATAACGCTTAAAAATGGAATTTTTTAATTTAAAAAGTTCAATTTTTTAATTAAGGTTTCACGTAACGAATTGCTAGTTACAAATTACTCATTCGTCTAATTACT